CAATGACAGGGGCCTTTGGGTTGGGGATTCAACATTTAGGGAGAAGGTTTTTCTTGATGGGATGGTGAATCAACATGACATACCCCCAATCGAATACTTGGGCGGCCGAGTGCTGAGGAGATAGGGACTCGCCCGGAGGATATCAAAGGAGACCGAGTGATCCAAGGGGATTATTAGGAAAGAAGATCTCTTGAGTTTAGGAAAGGAGATCTCCGCCAAACACTTTGTGCTTAGATGGCACCTCTGAGTATTAACACTTTGGGCTGCATTAATTTGAGAAAGTATAGAACAGATACTACCTAAAAAAAAAGGAAGGGAGATCCCTTGAATTTAGAAACGAAGATCAATTTTATTTATGGCAAGATAGAGTTGCGTAGTTATGCCCCTTAATTCTTGTACAAAGAGCAATAGAGAACTATTTTTTCGACAGCTTTTGTCTCAATTTTTCGATTGTGTTTGGCCTGCGGTTTAATTACTCCGGTGATCAATAAAACCAACATATCTCACCACCCAATGATTAATCATAATATATGATATGCCACATTAGAAATTTAAAAATATTAATTTTTACTCATGGATTACACGAACAGGCCACATAGCTAGGACTCCCAATTCTAAAATTCTAAAAAAGACATGAATATACAACTTGACCAATATATTAGCACCACAAACGGATGGGAAATGCACTCCCAAACCTACGGACTCGCACTGCTAAAAATTGAAAGATTAGAAATGAACAAATCGTAAACCATCTGATTAACCTGGCCGGCCTTGGCGATGTTGTAATTTAAATAATTTGGATACAATAATTGTAAGTTAATTATATATAATTAATGTATGCAAATCATTTAAATTATACCATCGCCAAGCTAGGCCGCCCAGGTTAATCACATGGTTCACCATTTTATAATATTTCTATTTTAAATCAATTACTACGTACTAGTTGTGGAAAATTACTAATTAAAAAAATATCTTATAATTAATGTATGCAAATTAAATTATTTAAATTATACCATCCTTAAGTTGACAATGATCTCATGGTCTAGTGGCATGAAGTGACTCTCTCAAATAAGAAGTCATGTGTTCAAGGCTTAGTTGGGGCTTGTAACAAACCATCGCTAAAGTTAATCACTTGGTTCACCATTTTTATAATATTTAATTTAATTTCTATATAGATAATAAGGTAGGAGTTCGAATTATAAATAGATTCAATAAAAATTTTCTTAAGAAAATATACCATCTCTTAATTATTATACAAAATAATAGTTATATGGAGTTTATATACAATTTAGTCTTTGACTATTGTAGTTTTTCTCGATTTACAGTTCTAAACGTTTTTTTGTGCTTAATTAGCTCATCAATTTTGATAATTTTAAATTAAGATAATTTGGTAATTTCACTTTTATTAATACTCAACTTAGTTCTTGACTTTAATAGTTTTACCCAAATTAGTCTTTAACTGTAGTGATTTTACATAATTTAGTCTTCGACTATAATAGTTTTTCTTAATTTAATTCTTAATTTGCCAATTATAGCACATCAAATCAACTACAAGATCTATCGGCCAAGATCTTTCAAAAGGCTAAAGTCAGACTAACTACTATTTTTGGTCTAAAACAAAACATTTTCTATCTAATCAAGGATTACAAAAATAATTTTGAGTAATCGAAGTAGAAAGTGACGCACCTTTAAACTTTTAAATATACGCATTTTAAATTATAAAGTTACACACCTTATGTTGTGACCTTACACACCTAACGCTATAAACTTACACACGCAACTTAAGCTATAAACTTACGCACCTTAAAATTTAAACTTATGCACCTTAAACTGTGACCTTACGCAAAATTGCCATAACGCCACTATATATATATATATATATATATATATATATATATATATATATATATATATATATATATATATATATATATATATTTAATTGTTATTCATTTTGAGCTATTGATTTTGGCAAGATTTCAGGTTGTGATTAATCAACATATTTCACCTAGGAGAAACTTCGCACCTGATCCCTAGTCTATATAGAATAGAGATCAAATATGAAGGAGGTGTTCGGATGAAACATGGGGGTGAATGATAGACATTGATCTTGTAAAAATCAACCATCCAAATTAAACACTGATTAAAAAAACGCGGTGGCATTATGATAATTTTACGTATTGGTGAAAAAATCACTTCAACCGTGTCATTTTAACACTTAATACTTAAAGTGCGTCAGTTTTACAATTGATAACTTAAGGTGTGTTATTGTTGAAACTTAAGGTGTGTATTTTCAAACTTAAGGTGTGTCATTTTAACATTTAAGGTGCACCATTTTAACATTTAAAATGCATTATTTTAACACTTAATGTGCGTGATTTTAGCACTTAAGGTGTAATATTACCCAACACGTATAGTATTTGAATTGCTACATATATACCATACCAACCAATTGAAAGCCATTCAATAATATAATTTGAAGCCCGCATGAGCAGCTCAATTGGTCATAGGGGTGAAGTTTGGGAAGAATGATCAGGGATCAAGTCTCACCAGCGACAGTATGGGAGCAACCTCTCAAAGTGAGGGGGGTTCCTTGTGAAAGCAAAGGTCTAACCTCTATGGTTCAGTTGAGTTACTATGATTTACATTCTCTCAGATACTCTGTTGAGCTGGGGTTGGGAATTCAACCTTTTGGGAAGAATAATATAATTTGGATATATAATCTAGATAGTGTGATTAATAATTAATTAAGATCTTATCCATCCAACGTAACGTAAATTTAATTTGCACGTTTAATTCAATTCTTCCCAACTGCTTCAGTAATTTATATTATACTATATTATATTATATTCCCTCTTGTGCCATATAAATTATATTGCATGAGAGCTCAACTCAAACAACGCAGCACACCTACATATACACATAGTTGCAGTGGGCGCTGAGCGCAAGTTGACCGCCCGAGCAGCGCCTAGCGCCTAAGCGGTCTAGTCGGCGCCTAGGCGGAATCTAGGCGGCGCTAGGCAGTCGCGAAAAAAACAGTAGCAGACTTGCAATTTGACAATTTTAATGAGGCTGTTTTCAACATTCAATCAAATAACACATCCAAATAAATGACATAATGACAATTCATAAGTCATAACATCAAAAGAATATTAAAAAAAAAAAAAACTCAAATGAAATACCCAAATACTTCAATCATCCAAAGATTGAAAGTATCAAACTAGTCTACGAGTGTATATATGTCATATTATATGTATATGTCATATAAATGGACAAAATTAGCAAGGTCGAGTCGGTCGGGTTAACTCGACTAACTCGACAGAAATTGACGAGTTAACTCGGCGTAATCGGACGAATAAGGCGCTAGGCGAGAGCCTAGGACGAAAATCGCTACGGCCTATGGGCACCTAGTGCCTAGGCGCCGATTACTTGGTGCCTAGGCGGGATTTTTACAACCCTGCATATACATACAATGCATGAGACCAGTGGACTGAGCGCCATTAGTGTCTTTGTGGGCATCTTTTATTACTTGATTGGACAAGATTGGGAAAGTCATTTCTGACTGTCAGACGGCCATCATAGATTATATTATGATTCATCATAAATTCTTTAAATGTCGTGCGAGATAAATAAACTTTTAACTCATGAATTATATCATTGTTTAATTTGTGAAGAATATCAAGTTATGGTACTGCAATGTTGTCACTTGCAAAATTTATCGGATAATGGTGGTGTTGATTTTAATCTTCCTCCCGATCGACAAGGTTGTGTTTGTTTCACGTGCCAAGCTTCTCCGGTGTAAAATGCGGTGAGATCTAAGTCGTTGATCTAGATCAACGATTCAAATTGAAGGAAAAAAAAATTGCATCCTTAGTAACATGAATTCAAATGATGAAGTATATATGCACCTTAAGAAGTTAAACTGATCCACCCTAGCTTATTAAAGTAAAAAGTCATGCACTTTAAGCTTTAAACATATGCACCTTAAACAATAAAATTACTGACATTAAACTTTAGATTTACGCACTTTATGTTGTGACCTTACGCACCTAACGCTATAAACCTACGCACACACCTTAAGTTATAAACTTATGCACCTTAAGTTTTAAACCTACGTATGCACTTTAAGCTTTAAACTTACGCACACGCTACGTTAGGTAGCGTTTCAAAAATAAGCTAGTAGCTTATTACTAATTTTTTTTCATTTTTATCATTATTATTTTAAATAAATAATATCATTTACCACTCCCAATTAAAACCCTTTTGATATTTTCTCTTCTTCTATATTTTTATTCAACTTCTTCTGCAACTCTTCACCGCTGCAACTCCTTAAAGTTCCAACTGTAATCGTCCGTTCATAAGTCCATGACTACTTTATTATGAGATGTTAGATCATGATTATGTTAATAGTTTTATTTCAAAATGTTAAATTCTAATAGGTAAACAAACCTATTTAAATTTTATGAAGATGTCTTTTTTAGTCATTTTACATTTATCAAACTTGTATAAAATAAAAAAAAAAAAAACAAATTTTATCAAACACTTTTAAGCATAATTAGCTAGCTTTAACAACTCTTCAGTTTTCAGCTTCTAGTTTATACCTTTTCAGCTATCTTTTCAACTACGTTTGTCAAACATAGCCATAATCTAGATAGTGTGATTAATAATAATTAATTAATTAAGATCTTATCCATCCAAGGTAACATAACTTTGCACATTTAATTCAATTAACCAGCTGCTTCAATTCAGTAGATTATATTATATGGTCTAATGGTATCCGGGTTGGACTTTCATTTGGAAGATTATGAGTTCAAGCCTCAGTGGAGGCGTTATTGGTTCTTTGTGTTTCAGTAGGTTGAGAAAGTATATGAACAGATACTACAATGTAATAGAGCCAGTAACTTTCAAAAAAATATTATATTATATTATATTCCCTCTTCTGCCCTATAAATTATATTGCATGAGAGCTCATCTCAAACAACACAACACAACACAACACACCTACCTACCTCTCTTTTCCCAATTATTAATTAAGTTGTGAAGATGAAAACCCTCGTGGCACTGCCACTCTTATTCATCGCACTGTCCCTTCTCATTCTTCCCAACCCAACTCATTCTATACGCAATAATCCCATCCGCCTTCCCACCGCTGCTCATGTCGTAGCTCTAGCGTCTGATGACGTCACTCCGGTGGTTGACATCGACGGACACGAGCTCCAGCCCACCGGAGATTACTACATATTCACCCCTGATCCGGAACTAGGTCAAGGAGTGGTTGGGTTGAGTCGTGATGCTAACAAATGCCCAATAATGGACGTCATCCTATCCACCGACTCATCAGCCGACCCCGTTATAATCACGCCGGCGGACCCCAACGCCACCCAAGTCTTGGAATCCACTTTCCAGAGCTTCAAATTCAACGCTAGTGTTCCTCTCTGTGGGAATAACGTGTTTTGGGAGAGTCACTACGACATTCAAATAGGGCAACACATCTTGCAGACTGGCAACGCTAGCCATAGCCCATTCCTGATTGAGCGGGCCTACCCAGACGCCGGCACTGACTTTCCTATTATTTACAAAATCACTTACTGTCTTGACGATGATTGCTACAACGTTGGCACATACTACGACACCTTAATTCACGCTAGGCGTCTGGTTCTTAGTCGTGAATCTTTCCTCCCGGTTGTGTTTCAGAAACGTACTCCGCCGGTGCTCGACCACATCGGAGACCAGCTCCTCGCCGGCGACCTTTACAACATACTCTCCATTGATGATCCCGAAGGAGAAGTGGCACTTGTTAGGTTTGTAAGAAATATTGTTTTCCCGTGTTTCAGTGTCAGTGCATGCACGGCTGGAAATTATGAAATTTCCGACCACTTGAAAGTGATCAAAAAGTGGTCGAAAATAGCAATAAAGGTTTTTTCGGATATCAAAAGTGGTCGGAACACGGCTGGAAATTATGGAATTTCCAACCACCTGAAAGTGATCTTAAATCAAGTCGAAAGCCTTGTTCCGATCACTTTTGGTATTCGAAAAAACCTTTGTTGCTATTTCTGACCACTTTTTGCTTTAGACTTGATTTAAACTCACTTTCAGCTGGTCGGAAATTTCATAATTTACAGTAATGAAATAAGATTTTCTACTTATTTCACTTTCAGGTGGTAGAAAATTCCTTAATTTTCAGTAGAGATGGTAATAATATTGTTTACATATTTATCTAATTACCCTATTCTAATAGGTTGGAGGTCAACAACGACACATGCCCAAGCGACGTGATCATACATGACGAATTAGGCGACCCCATTATATTCCAATCGTGGGGCCCCGCCTTCGTCTTGGAATCGACTCTCCTCACCATCAAATTCAAGCCTTTGCAGCCCACCCCAAATTGTACAGAAAACGTATATTGGGACAGTCAGCCCGACCCAAGCACCGGCCAAATTTTCGTGAAAGCTACCTCTTTTTTCTCGAAGCTGTTCAAGATTGAGAAGGTCCCATCGCCGGATGAGACTTACTTTTACAAAATCATGTACTGTCCTCCGGCTACCCCATGCTACAACGTTAGCACCTACAAAGACACGCGTCCGTCCGTTAACGCTACTCGTTTGGTTCTCACTTATGATATCCCCCACCCTTTTACGTTTAAGAAAGTTATCACACTGTAAGCACTTGCCGGTAATGTAGTACGTAGTTGCATGCTATATGATAAATAAGTTACGTTGCAACTGTATTGACAACGTACATGCATGCAACAAATCCGGCCTACCTTCTTCAATTCTCTGTATTGTATTGTATGGTATTGTATCAATGTATTGTATGGGACGTTATCTCCGCACCTGAGCTGCTCCATACTGTGTAAAGTCTAAATATGGAGGTTATTCAACTTAAAGTGATTATTAAACCAATTATCCATACAAATCGTTTGTAAATCTTACAAATTTAATTAGAAATTTAGTTATATGTTATTGAAAAGAATGCACAAGATATAACAAATACTGCCCAGAAGTTATGCACTTGAAGGCATAAAACTGTGCTCTTGAAGGCAAAAGGGTTCACTTGAATGCTAAGTTTTTTATTTTATTATTATTTTTTAATTTAAAATTTGTAGACAATACCAAGACATACATACACTTTTAGGCATTAAATTGAACACTTGAAAGCATAAAGAGGATCACTAGAAGGCAAGGGAGAAAAAAAGGACACTAAAAGAGAAAATTCGAATGTAATTAATTATGCACTCTTAGAAAGTAAAACATGCACTTTGAAGGCTACAAAACGTGCACTTGAAAGCCAAAAGATTTGCACTTAAAGGCACAAAGATGTGCACTCAAAATAGAAACTAAGTACTGAAATAAAACTGATGCACTCGAAGAAGAAAAAGTATGCACTTGAAGAAGTGAAAATGTGCACTCGAAGAAAGACAATTGCGCACTCGGATACAAAAGACAAGCTGACTTATTTACTCAAAATTACAATAATATTACTGCGCATTTTTTTTTTAATTATCTTCAATCTGAGCTGTTGATTTGGACTACATCTATGTTTGATACTTAACCCTATTTTTTACCTAAAGACCTCTTGTGCATTTGATCTACATCATATATATATATATATATATATATATATATATATATATATATATAAGTTCAAACGCGGCGATGTCCTTAGGTGCGGCGGTGCGACGAAATTTCAGAATCTTGTCCTTATCTTTTATCCTTCCTTCTTAGACGAAGGTTCCTTTTGTAAGAGCAGTCTATCTGAGACTTGCTCAATCCTTCTTTTGTCTTGAAGCATCTTTCGATCATCTTGTTATCTTTGAATCTTCATGTAGACCTATTATACTAGTCTCGTGCATGGTTTATACATCTCATGACTTTGTTATACGGGACTTATCTAACAAACGAAAAATAGGGGTCTGCAATCTAAACAGTTTGGTATCATCAAAATCTAAATACACTTGTTCCTAACACTATTTCCGACCACTTTTTGCTTTCGACTTGATTTAAGATCACTTTCAGGTGGTCGAAAATTTCATAATTTTCAGTAGTGATTTAATCATCATAATAATTGGCATTGGTGTTATGAACAAGTGTACTTAGATTTTGATGATACCAATCTTGCTAGAATCGTAGACCCCTCTTTTTAATTTCTTTATCTTAGAACTTTCGTGTTAGATGAAAGCAATAGCAACTCACCATGTGATTCGGTTAAGTATCATACATACACGAATCTGAGTTGTGTTCAATAGTTTTGGTCTACGAGAAGAAGTGAAGATCGAGAGAATAGCATAGATCGAAAGACGGAAAAGTCTAGCTCTCGTGTAAATATCAAATGTTAAGAAAAGCCATTTGATCATCGAAGACAACGAAAGATAAAGGCAATCTTTCGTATGACTCTCCCGAGACCATTAAGTCTAAGTCAGACTTAAATAGACAAATTTAATACACGAGCAAAGAGAATGTTGTCTATGTCTCACTGTTGGGCAATCATCTTAGACAAAAGAAGTCCTAAGAATGATATTCACAAAAACAAGGAGCATTAAATGATTAGTACTTATTGTCAGTCAAAAAGAACAAAGCCATAATGCTTTTTGACACCAACAACTACACAGTACAGCCGCAATAAATGCTCCATACTCAATGGCCTCGACCATCGTTGTGGTTTTGCGCAGTTGAGGCCTCGTACCTCGGCAGCTGCCGAGGCCCAGCACCTCGGCCGCTACCGAGGCCCAACGCCTCGGCCACTGCCGAGGCCTTACACCTCGGCACAAGCCGAGGACTCACACCTGAGTAGTGGCCGAGGTCTTGGTTCATGTGACCCCACGGCCACACCTTTGCGCTACGAGCGGGCAAGGGACAATGATGGTACCATAAAGCCTCAATAAAGGAAAGCTGATTGTTCATTCAAAACACCAAGTCTAGTACATAACAAAAAGGGGAAGAACGACCAAGTCTAGTGCATGGAAAAAAGGGGGAGAACAAGTTTTTTGGCTACATGAGCCTAAAAAGAAGGTAATCCAAAGCAACCTAAATCTAGCCATTCAGGTAGGGCGTGGGGGTGGAGGCATTATAAGCGGCGACATCCTCTGCATACTCTTCCTTGTTCGACGGGAGATGGATATTCGCCAAGGTAGTGGAGACAAAGCCAATAGTCATATAGTCTGATTCTCCAGAAACTCATCTAACCCCCTAAGGTCCTCTGCACCAACAGGAACAACGATTCCACCAACTGGCCACCTGGACGAGCAAGACAGGGAGGCAGCCATCTCGCCTGGGGATTAAAAGTAGCGTACTGCTCCTTCAAGATAGCATAGATGTCCTGCTGCATCATATACAGGCCCACATCATAAGGTGTTATCCCCTCATCCTCAATACTGCTCTTCCAGTCCTCCGAGGCGAGCCACTCATCTATCAGCTCCTGCAACGGCCGTGGGCGTGTGACATAGCATCCACTACGAACTGGGGAGACTTCTGGTAAACCGGAACAGCACGGCCCAGCTCATATCTCAGCTTCTCATTGTCGCGGCGGCGGGCCTCTTTCTCCTACTCCAACGAACGGGTAAGCTCGGCAATCCGCCCCTGGAGGGTCTCATGGCTCCCGAAGAGAGAGGTACAGTGGGGGACAGTCTGTCAATTTAAGAGGGGAAGCATGTTTTCGAAGCAAGGTACGAAAAAAAAGTTTGTGTTCAGCTTGGGTTCCACCAAAACCATGGATATTTGGGATTCTTGTAGTAGTAATACTGGTCTCATCACCTCACAGTTCATCACTTTCCATTCTTCTGCCAGTTTTAGTGATTGCAGTTCCTTCAATTCAGCATTCCCAACTGCTTTATCTCTTTCCTTTTCTGTATTTCAATGCCTCAATTCCACCATTTACTTGAATGATGAAGGGATTAGTTGATCACCCTTCTGAATTCAGCAGACTACGAATCCTAGCCGTCAATGGTGGTCACGGTGCCGGTGGGAATCCTCCGCGGTCGGTCGCTGCGAAGCTGCCTCAGTTCACTGTTTAATCGGGGCAAAACACTAATTTCGCATTTCCTGTGCCGCGAAGTTGCACTGATGCCAATTATCAAATCAAACGTACATACGCCAAAAGTTTTTCTCCAGGAGATAAAGATATATGCATTGATATTTAGGGTTTACACAATACAACACATACACGCAACAAGCAGGCAGCTAGCTAGAGCAGCTAGGATTTGTTGCATGCATGTTTATTCTTACATAATTAAGTAGCCAGCATCCATGCATGCTACTAGCATACGGGAGGGTCAAACACGTATTGAAATATACTTGAACAATTAAGGGAGAGTCACCATCACCCACAAATCCACAATCAAACGTCTCTCGCCAATAGACTTGTCGTAGTACGTGCTAACGTGGTAGCAGCACAACCGGAGCGCACAGTAAATGATTCGGTAAGTGTTGGGCGCTGGGGCTGGCTTAATTAAGAAAGGGTATGATGAGACGATATCTCCGGTCTTCACGAAAGGTAGAATCACTTCTGGAAATTATGAAATTTCCGATCACCTGAAAGCTGTCTTGTTCCGACCACTTTTGGTATCCGGAAAAACTTTTGTTGCTATTTCCGACCATTTTTTACTTTCGACTTGATTTAAGATCACTTTCAGGTGGTCGGAAATTTTATAATTTCCAGTAGTGAATACACAAACTCTTAACATAATTTTAACATAATGCATAATATACATAAACTCTTAACATAATATACATAAACTCTTATCATAATACACATAGAGTCTTGGGGCACACAATGCATAGTGCACCTAGTGCACGATATAATTTGCCATTAAAGGGTGATTGGGCTTGAAATTTTAGGCCTATTAGTGTGATCTGCTTCTCAATTTTTGGCAAAAATTTATATCCTACACCACGGCGCGCGTTGCACTATGTGCCCAGATGCAAAACGATGTCGTTTTAATTTTTAATTTTTTTTTTTTGAAATTTCCCGCCCCAGTGTATGACAGTTAATTTTTCTTTAAAAAAAAACCCATGTTCAAAAATGTACATAATGTTATACTAGAATACACATAATTGTATACATGAATGTACATAATTATATAACAAAATATACATACTCTTTTTAAAAGATAATACACATAATCTAACATAATACATAATAAACATAAACTTTTAACATAATACACATCAACTCTTAACATAATACACACAAATTTTCTGATTCGGATGTACATAATTGTATAAAAAGAATGTACATAATTGTATAAAAAATGTATAACTGTATGAACAAATATATATAATTATATGAACAAATACACATAATTGTGTGAACAAATATACATAATATATATCATTCATATTCCCTTTACTTCACTCTCTACTTCTTCAAACATCATCATCAATCTAGTACAATCTTTATATATATATATATATATATATATATATATATATATATATATATATATATATATATATATATATATATAGGGAAGGGATCAGGTGGATTTGTTGTTTCCCGTGCGGATGTGCGGTGGATTAATGTGCGTGAGGTTTATACTTAATGTGCGTGAGTTTGTACTCAATGTGCATGAGATTTGTACTTAATGTGCGTAATGTTAATATGCGTGAGTTTTGTACTTAATGTGCCTAAGTATTGTGCTTAATATGCGTGAGATTTGTGCTTAATGTGCGTGCCTTTTAACAAGGTTGTTGAAGATCGCCTATTTCGTCCTGGACCAATTCCGATGGTGGTGAACAGAGATTAGGTTCGGCGGTGACGAATTCTTCCTATCAGCGGCGGTGGTGTGGCAATTCTGGTGGTGTTCACAGGTACGGCGATCCATAGTGAGTTCCGTTCGACAACTGCGAATTCTTGTTAGGCGCAGCAGAGTCCTTAGCTGGTTAAAATTCTCTTTGCGACATCAATTTCACGGTGGCAAATTGGCTTTGTTTTATGTCCAGATTATTAATTTGTGAACATGTTAATTCCATTTGTATTCTTTCTTGTCAGTTTGTTGAGTTAATTCTTTCTTTAGGTACATGAATTAAGTACAAATCTTAGGCACATTAAACACGAGACTAAAACACATTAAGTACAAAACTCACGCACATTAATTAACATTCCACACTCACGCACATTAAGTACAAAGTTCAGACACATTAAGCATAAGACTCACGCACATTAAATACAAAGCTCACGGACATTAATCAACCGCACGAGAAGCACCCATCTGCACTGGAACCTTTCACTATATATATATATATATATATATATATATATATATATATATATATATATATATATATATATATATATATATATATATTAAGGTGCTGTCAGTGCGATCGCACCCATAGTTATGTAAATATGCACCAATGATGTTACGAAACACATAACAAAAAAAAGTACAAATACATAAAAAACGCACCATTAGGTACGCATCACACAAAAAACGTGACATTAGGTAAGCATAAACGCATCACATAGTGTTTGGAAATGCACAATTAGGTGTAGGGAGGTATGGTGCGTTTTTTTGGGTGTGTTGTGCGTTTTGTGGTGTATTTGTGCATTTAATTGTTGTGCGTTTTTCTAACACTATTGGTACCTTTTTTTAAGCGGTCGCACAGACTGCATGTTAAGGTGCGACCATATTTGAGCAGAAGTCTATATATGTGTGTGTGTTAACAATCATTGCTTATTACATGATGATTTGAAGGGTTAATATGCATGCATGGTTGTTTGTTTATTTTTTTGGTGACTAGAGAAACCTACCGTCACTATCTAAAGGTGTACACTAGATAAATCTAGTATTGTGATCCTAATTGTGAAAGGAGCACAACAAGTTAGGTAAATCAATTTAGGTTGCTCATAGCTGATCGGTTAAAATAAACCAAGAAGACTAATAGGTCACTCTCGTCAGGAGTTAAACTTGAAATCCTATGATTACCAAATCAAACAGTCTAACCAACTGCAGGAGTTGTCCCATGGTTGTTTGATGTTAATACGATGTAGAATGAATGTGTGTTACTTGTTTCGGATTTTCCATTGTTGTAGGTACAACTGTGAATTCAGTTAAGGGTTCCAGAATACGGTTGGACAGCACAAAAAGTGTTTCACTTGATGAATTGTGTTGTCAATGGATGTAAGCTCACCTCCATTACTAATTTCAATTCAGAATTCCTTGTTTTGTGTCAATTAAAAGTTTTAACTAATAATTATAATATATAGGCGTTTTATTTCTGTTTCAACTAAATGTTTAACCTGATAGTGATGAGACAACCATCTGATTCTAACATAAACCCGGCCTACCTCCTTCTTCATGTTTGGCTTCTACTGGGGCCGTGTTCCATTTGAGACAACAAGTAAGTTTCCTGACCCAGTAGACATTATATTCCATCTTGTTGAGTTTGTCGGATTAAGGATAAAACTAATATATTTATAGACATCTAATTCCTGTACAATGTATCTACCCGTTAACGTTTCACTCATACTCTTAGTATGAGACAAACTCAACACATCTCGACTAAATGTTTAAGTAATCCGGGGGATTGATGGTTGTTTGGGTAACTTATAAAATGCATGAATATGAATGAGCAGGCACTGAGAGTGTTGCTATTGGATCGCCCAGGGGCTTCTCTTCTTCTCCACCTATACATTACTCATTCTGTTCTGGGCAGAGGTTTACGACCAGGCAAGAAGCTTCGCCATTGATAATCTTCGACCCACATACTTTAAAATCAATGTGGTTGTATACATCATACAGGTGAGGATTATCATCAACTAACATTATATTTCTTCAGACTTTCATATATTTCAATTTGATTTCTTCAGAATACTTGTTTGTGAAACTCTGATATGAACATATATAGATATGCATATGGATATTCATCAAACTCAGTGGAAGCCCTGCAGGAGTTGATATTGCAAAGCTAATTTTTTCAGGTTAAATTGATGGATTAAAACACTTTTTTGTTAGTTTCATGTTTATTGATTGCCAGCTGCACAGTTAAAAGGGAAATGTGATCTTTGATTTTCTGCAGTTATTTCATTTTGTGCTGCTATGGGATTCTTGATATATGGTGGAAGGTGAATGCATGCTACCTTCAAATCTCTAGATTTTACACCATAAGTATTGGCAAATTATACAACGGACCAGGGTCTATTGTAGACGCTAGTCTAATTTTGTATCTATAGTTGACACATTCTGTACCTGTGGCTATCATATTATGTATTAGCAATTATCAAATCAGATTCTATATCAATAATTGATATATTCTGCACCTGTAACTATCATATTATATGTCAGCAATTATCAAATTATTTATCTATATGTATGTACAGAATGTGTTAACGGAAGGTACACAATTTTTGTATCAGGGTTCACAATGCAATATGAACCTTGGTCCATGGTATAAGAATTGATAAGTATTACTTAGGGGCTAAAAATTTGCCATTTTTCCTTTTAATTATCTTGTGTTTATTTCATTAATTAATATGCGACCTCGATTTAATGTTGCTTTCCAGGTTGTTTGTCATGCTGCGACATTTTCCCATTGAATCCAGGGGACGGCAGAAGAAGCTGCATGAGGTCTGTTCATAGTATTTTAACTAACAGGAATCTGGGAAACAACTTATAATGCATATATATAAATATACATTTACATATACATATATGTATGTATTTCAGTTTAATTTGAAAAATCTCTCGTTTGACTTGAGATGGTTGTGCTTAATCCTAGTTGTTGGCAGGTGGGGTTTGTGACTGGAGTTTGCAGCATATGTTTCTTGATCAAATGCATAGTGGTATGCTTTAACAGGTTATATATATATAGAATTGTTTTAAGGTGTCAATCAAAAGTATTGTCTTTTTAGGTAAAAGATAACATTTTTTATTAAAATCGTTGTCTTGAGTATACATATTTTCTTTAAAAGACACCGGTTGTGGTCTATGTGCTTTTTTCTTGTAGTGAACCATACATAGTGAGAACAAGTATAAGGAGAACAATTATCGATAGTATCTGCAAGTACAACTCAAATATGGTTGTACATGGTATAAAAGGCCTTGGTGCCACAATATAGAATATCCCATACATCTCAAATTGATACAACTCAAATATAGTTGTACTTTTTTTTTTTCAAATATAGTTGTACTTGATATAAAAGATACTGGGTGTCGATTGATGCCTTAGAATATCCCAATTGAAAATTAGGATGTTTCGGCTACTTGATAGGTAATATACCCCAGGTTATTGAACCGTACATACCGAGCACTTGATTGGATCTGACTCCAAGAATCTTAAGGATAAATTCCGATCGTGTCCCACCTGCTGGGGCGTACTTAACTGACCGGACCTGATACTAGGCTTCTTCTTAGCTTAATAAGCTTTCTGCTCTGAATCCTTTAGGCTCGGTTCCGACTTGAATGCTCGGTCGGCCCCCGAGCCCGAGCCCAAGCCCAAGCGACCAGTACCTAAAGATGAATGTGGATAATAACGTCCGAAAGTCTAATCAACATGACATTGCAGGTTGGTATTTCTGCCTTTGATGAGGCTGCTGATATTGATGTTCTTGTTCATCCAATTCTAAATCTCATTTATTACATGGTAAATTAATCTTTCTGCATATATTATTTCCAAAAAAAAAAAAAAAATCTTTCTGCATATATGCATACATTTGCCCAGATAGATGACTGATCATTTGACTGAGACAAACATTTTGATGTTGTCTTCCACAGATGGTGGAAATCTTGCCTTCTGCAATGGTTCTCTTCATCCTCCGGAAATTGCCCGCGAAACGAGTCTCCGACCAGTACCATCCAATTCAATGACACCGCCGGCGGCAATATGCCATAAACGTTGAAGATCAGATCAGAGGATGTTCCGGCCGGCAGTTTTGGTTATTATTAGTACGATGATGTTACAATAGGCCATGTGTTGTGTGTTTAATTTATCAGTTTTGTCTGTTGTCTTCACTTTGATACAGTAATATATATATATATATATATATATATATATATATATATATATAATTTTGGATACGTAGTTTGGGTATACCTTTAGTCAAATGGGGCAAGCCAATGGCTTATAGAAAACCTTAATTATTTTACATGTAGAATTATTCAGTATTTCGAGTCCCAGCTAGGATTGCTGACGTTCATTGTTGCAGTGGTTGAAAATCAAAGTTTGTAGAGGAAAACGTAGAGCCTTTTCCGGTAAGAATGGTCAATTATACTTGTTGATGAGCTTCTTCAATTCTGCCTTGCGAGGTAGAGCCTCTTCAATAAGTCTTGGTAGTGAATTGAATAGGAAGTAAGTATAACCCATGACTATGTGAGAATATAATATAACTGAAAAACTGATGGTTTTATTCATACTTTACAACCCTTTATATACATGAAGAATATGGTAACAACTAGCTATATGTGCAAACTAACAAAAGAGAATGATCAGGTGAGCTTGAGAATTTCAATACAAAAGAATAATTAATAATAATCACTAATAATACTAGGGCTTAATACGCCCCCGCAAGATGGAGGAGCCATCAGAAACTTTCATCTCGGACCGAAAATGCTCAAATGAATGTCTTACCAACCCCTTTGTGAGAATATCAGCGATCTAGTGAGTAGTTGGGACATGCTGCACACTAAGTGTACCATTTACAATATGATCCCGAACAAAAAAGTAGTCCAATGCGAGATGCTTCATCCTTGAATGATAAACCGGGTTCTGACAGATGTACGTAGCACTCAAATTGTCACAGTGCAACACCGGAGAACGAGGAAGAAGAACCTCCATATCCTGCAATAAATTGTGTACCCATATAACCTCAGCCGCTGCATTCGCTAAAGCTCGATATTCTGCTTCTGTAGAAGAACGGGCTACTGCCTTCTGTCGGACCAAGCGCCAATAAATTATATTGGGCCCTAAAAATAAAACATAGCCAGTGGTCGACCGGCCACCATCATGAACACCACCCCAATCTGAATCTGAGAAAGCAGCAAGATTTAACGTAGAGCTACGACGAAGAAGCAGCCCGTGAAACACTGTTCCCTTCAAGTAACATAACACTTGTTTGACCGCTTGCCAATGAATCAATAGAGGATTGTGCATGAATTGTGAAAGGCGGTTTATGACATAGCCAACATCAGGATGAGTAATTGAAAGGTATTGTAAAAGACCAATTACCCTTCAATATACAGTAGCATCAGTAATAGCAGCGGATTGATCCTTCGGCCGGAATAAGTCAACAGAAGACCCAATAGGTGTGTGCACAATCTTAGCTTCATGCATGTCAACTTATTTCAAGATATCAATAATATACTACGATTGAGACAAAAACAATTCATTTGAAGTGAGAATTACCTCAACACCAAGAAAATGATGTAACGCCCCCAAGTCTTTAACCGAAAACCGTTGCGCTAAGCAGGAAACAAAATGATCCAACAACTCATCAGAATTTCCTGTGACTGCAATATCGTCTACATATGCCATAAAGTAAATTAAGGCACCATTAGACTGATAAATGAACAAAGAATAATCTGGACGGGACTTGCGAAAACCAAATTCAACCAAATATTTAGAGAGCTCCATATACCACGCCCGAGGCGCTTGCTTGAGACCGTACAAAGCCTTTCTAAGGCGACACACAAAGGAAGGATACTGAGGATCACAATACCCTGGTGGCTACTTCATATAAACCTCTTCAGACAAGGTGTCATGCAAAAAAGCATTATTGACATCGAATTGCCGTAGTGTCCAATTGTAGGCTAATACCAAGGTAAGGACAATACGTATCGTAGCAGGCTTTGCCACGGGACTGAAAGTACCAAAGTAATCCATCCCAGATTCTTGCAGGTATCCCTTAGCAACTAGGCGAGCCTTATCGCAGCAGGCTTTGCCACGGGACTGAAAGTATCAAAGTAATCCCTCCCAGATTCTTGCAGGTATCCCGTAGCAACTAGGCGAGCCTTGAACCTATCAATCGTTCCATCTGGTTTTCGTTTAACTCTAAAAACCCATTTGCAACCAATCGGCGGTCATTTTGGCGGTGGTACCAGTTCCCATGTACCATTTTTGAGAAGCGCAACAAACTCGTCGTCATCCATGGCTTGTCTCCAACGAGGATCCTTCTTGGCTTGGGTAACAGAGGTAGGCTCAACTGGTTCTGGTATTGGGTGATTACTGGTGAAGATGACGGTTTTATAATCAAAATATTTATGGTTTGGTTTTCGAATTCTAGTTGATCGCTGAACCTGTGTAGGTGTAGACTGGGTAGAATTATTATGGTCGGAGGAGCCTGGTTGCGACTGGTCGGTGGAGAGATCATGTGTGAGATCAGTAGATGAGGGTGGCGGTTGGGTAGTGAGAATATCATGCGGCTGGGCGGTGTCACTAGGATATGAAGAGGGCGGTTGGGCGGTGTGACCAGGAGATGAAGAGGGCGGCTGGGCAGCGTGATTAGGAGATGAAGAGGAGGGCTGGGTGGTGACAATATCATGCAGATGATTAGTAGAGGAAAATGGCCTGGCGGCTGGACGGTGGAATTATCATGCAGCTGGGCTTGCGGCTGGGCGGAGAGGGAAGTTTGCGGCTGGGCAATGTCCATTGGTTGATCGGAGGTAGCGGAAGGTTGAGCGGGAACTGTTGGAGGCACGGTAGATGGAAAAAAAATAGATTGTTGATAAGGATTAAAATTAATAATATGAGATGAAAGACATGAGGCACTTACACTGGGAGGTCCGGCCGAAGTTGTACAGGCTTGGCTGTACGGAAACACATGATCAATAAACCGCACATGACGATATACATAGACGCGGCCTGTTTTCGGATCAAGACACTTATAACCTGACTGTGACAGAGAATATCCTAAAAACACAAGATATTGATTTTTGCTAGAGTTTGGTGTTGGTGTACGACTTAAGCCAAGGAAAACATAAACAACCAAAAGGTTTTAATTTTTTGTAATTCGGTGTCATTCCAAATAGAAGTTCAAAGGGTGATTTATGCATGAGATTTATTTTTGGCATTCGATTTATAAGATACACGACTGTTTGAAACGAATAAGACCAATATGTACGGGGCATAGAAGCAAAACCAAGTAAAGACAACCCGGATTCTGCAACCCTTTATATACAAGAAGAATATGGTAACAACTAGCTATCTATGTGCAAATTAACAAAAGAGAATGATCAATCAGGTGAGCCTGAGAATTTAAATACAAAAGAATAATTAATAATAACCACTAATAATACTAGGCCTTAATAGACTATCCCGGCTGTTGTAGTGAAGAACGCTGATAACGGTAATTCCCGTGTATGTAGAAACAATGTAGAGAGTAGACAAGAAATAACTCAAATGGATCTCTTTTATTCATGTTTGTTTTTGCATGTTTAGAGAGAATGGAGAGTATTCTCTAAGTCTAGAGAGAGAGGAAAATGGGAGAAGGAAAAACCCCTAACTTGGAGGGCTAAGGCCCTATTTATAGGGTCAAGGGTTGGCGGGTTGACCTTGACCCGTTGAACCTGACCCGAACCGTTTGACCCGACATCGATTCGGTCTTTTCCCGATCGCAATCAAAGTTAAAAGGCAAACTCGAGAATCCATCGTATCTACTCCCTTATGATGACGATTCTCGTAACTAAGGGAGTGGGGGGCTACACTGGTGCTCGTTCGCCAAATAATTTCCCGAATATACCGGTCGAGTAGCGCGTTCGTGTCCCTAAAGTATTCCCCGAGTAGATCGGTCGAGCAGCACATTCGTTTCGCTAAAGTATTTCCCGAGTAGGTCGGTCGAGTAGCGCGTTCGTTTCACTAAAGTATCTCCCGAGTATATCAACTTAGCTCGTTCACCAAAGAGCTTCTTAAGTAGACCGACTTTTTCAGTCCCGTTGTCACTTCTCGGTCAAAGTGACCTTCCCGGTCCCGTTATCATTAGACTTTCGGGTCTCCTAGCACTAAAGTGCTCCGCGAGCTGATCGACCTTCTCGGTCTCGTAGATCGCCTCACGAGTTGGTCGACCTTCCCGGTATTGTAGATCGCCACACGAGTAGATCGACCTTCCCGGTCCCGTTGATCGTTTCACGCGTAGATCGACCTTCCCGGTCTCGTAGATCGCTTCGCGAGTAGATCAACCTTCCCGGTCGCGAATAGGGTTATTATCCTCATATAGAAGGAATAATATGTACCATTATGTACTCAATAAAGAGTTGATAATGGACTTGGTTATTATCCTCATATAGAAGGGATAATATGTACCATTATGTGCTCAATAAAGAGTTGATAATTGACTTATTTATTATCTCAATCAATATTGATGGTGTAAACAGCTTGATGATGTCAGTTCATGTTTAAAGACTGAGATTTTTGAAATAAAAGCTTGTGAAAGATATAAGTATTATCTCGACTTGAAGATCGAGTTTTTCTTTGAAGAATTTTTTTTTATACACCAGTTAGCCAATACTTGATTTTGATTAGATACTTATACAAATCAATATATAATGGGCTATTTGGGTACTGGCTATTCTTTTTGTATCCCCATAATGCCAAAGTCCCAAAACTGGTTGTACTATATTTACCCCCATTGTCCTATAAAGTGACAATAAAGA